CCAGAAGCAAACTTTATTCCAGAAAAATAAAAAATTAAAAAATAATAAAACAGTGGGTGTTCGTTATTTGGCCGCGTTGTGTTCTTACCCTGCAAGGAAATGTCACGAAACGTGACAGAATCCGCTAATAAGAATTTTATTAGAGATAAAGGGACAGAGAGTGTGCAGGCCTGTGGAAGAGACACGTGCATGGAGAAGAAGAAGGAACCGGGAACATGGCTCTCATTTTTTAAAGGCTGGGCGTGGCCAGGTCACGTCACTACTCCACAAATGTGCATAGATCACATGGCTACGTTGCGCACTTAAGTCGCCATGAAACGTTACGGATCCTGGTCATGCGAGACGCCTTGACCTGGAAATGGCTATCTTGACCTGGAACTGGCTAGGTGGAAGTGTCCAGGTCCTCCGGGCATCCTGGTTACGGCGCCCTGACCCGGAAATGCCTATCCTGACCTGGAACTGGCTAGGCGGAAGTGTCCGCCTGGCATATGCAACTGTGGGGGCGTGTTGTGAACCCTTCAGCGCGGGGGTGGGGGTGAGGGGGTGGGGTGGGGATATGTACAAAAACTTATCAGCTAGCTGAGACCACAGCCAATGTTGGAATTCTGGGGCTGTGGCAATGAAGGTAGGTACTGGCCCCCTTTTATAGTATCAGGCATGGGGTACATGCTAGGAGTCACATGGAAACATCAGGCGTGGGATGCATGTTAGAAGTCATGTAGAAACAACTATTAAAAGTTAACTTTGGGGCTGGAGAGATGGCTCAGTGGTTAAGAGCACTGACTGCTCTTCCAGAGGTCCTGAGTTCAATTCCCAGCAACCACATGGTGGCTCACAACCACCTGTAATGAGATCTGGTGCCCTCTTCTGGCCTGCAGGGACACATGCATGCAGAACACTGTATACATAATAAATAAATAAATCTTTTAAAAAAAGAGTTAACTTTGGCTAAGTTGTTGTTGGCTATAATGGGTAAGGGTGTCAAAAGTTAACCCCTGGCTGTTGACAGAGGAGCTGGCTGTAAAGCAGAGGGCCATTGTGAGCAGGTAACATTTAGAGCCAATGATTGTCAGTTTTTACCTCTTAAGCTTATAATTTTATATTTCTATATTCCTGGACCCTTCACATGCAGTGCACTGACATTTGAGAATGATTTCATGGCTTTGCACTTGGGGAGTAGTCCTAATTAATTAGTAATGGACACATTATTCTATAGAGAACTCACTAAGGTAAACATTTTTGTAAAGAACAAAAATTCTTTCAATGCACAGTAAAAACCCTCTTCAGTTAATTGTTTGGTTTTCATTTGCTTTTGAGACAAGGTTTCTTTGTTATGTTGCTCTGGCTGTCTTGGGACTCTGTAGTCTAGGCTGGCATTGAACCTGCTTCTGGCCTCCTTACTGC